GGGGGGGGGGGGGGGGGGGGGGGGTTGGCCTGTAATCCCTTTGAAAAGCACCTTGGAAAAAATTTCATAGAGGAAAGTGTCTCAGTTTGAACCACAAAATACGCAGGCCAGTGTTTTGATCTTGGATCATGGTATAATTTAAAAACTTTTTGATGAAAACAGATTCTTGATTACAATAAGTGCACCAAAACTTTAATCTGACAAGCTGATAGTATAACTAAAAAAGTACACCTCTGTCAGTTTATGACTTTGCAAACTTCTTGCTGGAAAATAAACACGTTTCAACATCCAAGATTTCCCATGATCTTATAGTTTTTCCTCAAAAATGGGAACATCTCAGTTAGCTTCCGTTCAAGAGGAAAAAAATTGATTTTGCTAATGAGATTGAATAGAGGTGTCGTCAGATAAGATGACATTGTTTACATTCCGTCTGCAAGCGTTTTTGCATCACTACTATCCACCTGAAAACATCGGAGACTCTCGCAGAAGCAAGAACACAAGCTTAGATAAGTTTTATAATACTTTCAAACCTTGTAACATTTTAATTTTTAGACACATAGAAATCACAACCACATAAAAGTTGCAAATCATGATTGATAAGTAGTTTTTTTACGATACGATCATGAGACGGATGTTTTCAAGGTGAATAGTAGCAAAAGCCGCTTTGTGGACAGGCCTTCGTTCGTCATCTGCGCTTGCGAACCGAAAGTGAACAATGGTCAACTTATCTGAAAACACCTCTGGGAGCACTCGGGAGAACAAACCTGAATATAGTCAATGGACTTCTGAAGGACTGTAGCTTTACTCATTTTGTAGCTTGACGCATCTGTGTGCTGACACGTGTGGACAAGATCTTGGAGAGAATCGTAACCTTTTTTTATGGCGTCTCTGCGTTTTTGCTCCGCTTGGGTGTGTGCTTCTCGTCGCCTTTCCTTGTAGCTGACTGGAGAACCTTTTCCTTCACTGTCATCATCTTCTGAAATGCCATCAATTTCACAAATATTAATTTCAGATTAGGGGGCTGTTCAAGTATTACATAAGTGTAGTGTCCTGGGAGTAATCCAACATAAAAAGGGGAAATAGAGCAACAAGGCACTCGGCCTAAACAACAAAACGCGAAGGAATGCACCTGCACATGTTACAGGGATCAAATTGTAAGGAACGTTCTTAGAAACGTAAGTAACTCGGGGCAGGTGCATCGGAATTAAAAGGTTTCGGCCATAAAAGTGTCGAGCCAGATTTATCGCACGGGCCTTTGGCGGAGCCCGCTGCGAGGGGGGGACCCGTGTAACGGGCAAGTAAAGGCCAGTAAGCCTAAAACTAGCGGGACCAACCAGAGCTTAGCATCGGTTCCTGGACCAGCCAATCAGAGATAGCATGGGGCACGCTGGGGGTGGCCCCAAAAAGGGTTGTCCAGGGACCGAGGTTTTGAGCTCTGGAAGGCTCTGGCACTTCGATTTCTACTTCGAGTCGAGCAGAGATAAACTCCTCGAGTCCTTAGCGACAAATATAAATTTTTCCAGACGAACAAATATTTTTCCAAAGTCCCCCGAGACAACAGCCTTATTTAAAATATTTACATATTTTTCTTGGATTCATACCTTGTGTTGATTTTTTTTTGTTAATTTTGGTTTCGTGTTGTTAATTTTTCGGACTCTTCAACATTATAAATTTTCTTTCCATCGCCAATCATTGACTTACGTTCATTACTCTATCTCTGGGGTGAAAACACTCCAGAACCTTACATAAGGCAATTCGAAAATATCACAATCTCGTGGTGAATACGTAAGATAGTTACCATGGCCACTGCTGCTTCCACTTGCGTTGCCAGCTTGCTGCATATAAAGAGATCCTGCACTGCTTGATCTGGAAAAATTCTGCTTCCGCCCACTAGGACTTGGTGGCTGTTCTTTAAGATCCATGTCCTCCCTGTGCATACAACATTTTTAAGTAAAGAGTTTGGGCATAGCAATTATAAAACCGAAAAACACATACATCAACTTCAAAACTGGGATGTACTATTTCGGGAAAATGTGTCCATCAAAGTCATAACAAATTCAAAATTACCAATTGGTTTTAAGACATAAATTTCATACCTGTCTTTTCTGAGAGAGGCCCAGAGCTGGGAACTTATGCATACGGCATCATCAGTTGCCGCACACTGGTCTCAGAAGTAGAGGATAAATGAGCCTTAAAGAGTAACTTCATTGGCGCTCCAGTACATAGCAACGCTAGCGTGCTCTATGATTTAGCCATCAACATACTACTGAGTACTATGAGAGTTCGAAACTTCTGATGTGTTTTCCAAATTATTACTTGCACATTTATCTTGTGGAATGTTGAAAAATGTGCCGCTTAATGGTATGAACTTTAGACTGAAGAGCAAGGAAACACTATCGAACAGCAGCAATTAGGCGAAAGCATATGGAATTTGGAATTTCAAAAGTCGCATGAGTCTAATTCTATAAATCATCCACAGATATAGTTCGGATACGATTGAAAGCGATAAAATAATAGCATTTCATCGATAAATATGCGAGAATTGGACGGAGTTAAACAGAAAGGAACCAAGCCACATCGGGACCGAACCGAGAAAAAGAGGTTTAAAGTTTGGCTCCTGCATAAGAATCAATGTAAAAGATCAACTTCAAGTTCAATTTCTGCAAAATTTGCTCCAACAAAAACTTTGAATTTTTGGTGATAGATAGTAAAGCAGTGGTTGAGTTCAAAACCACTCCTAACTCAATTTTTTCCAAAATGTGGGTTGGTTCCTTTCTGCTTAACTCAGTCCAATTATGCATGATAATCTCTTATCAGTAGGTTCATTGAAAGATGTTGTTGAGTGCTAAAACAGATCATGCTGTAAGGATTGTTATAAGATATTACCGATTCATAAGCTTGAAGATGAGAGGGAAATGAGATATCGCACCATTACACCAATTGTAATGGTGCAATCAGTGTAATTAATAATAAAAATAACAAACAGTTACTCGGTCACTTACATGATAACAAATCAGGATGTTTCAGTTCCGTTTGGAGGTTAAGAATGCGATTGCAAATCACCCGCCTCTCCGCGTCATCGTCGAGTTCAATGGTGATGAAAATGTTAAGTCATTAGTTTTAAATTAATTTTTGGGGAAGGGTATCTGTTGAACGCCTTTTAACAGCATCAAGAGTAATAATTGACGAAAAATCGGAATACAAAACTTTTCATCGGTCCCAGCAAACTGTATTATAGCGATAAAAGTAAATTGTAACATCACTTTCTAGCGTTTCAAAATTTCCCGCTATCTCTCTTATCACTTGCATCGATGGCAGCCACTCGTAAACTCGGATGCAAGTTGTTGGCGTTGCGAGAGTGTGTAATAATAAAAATGAAAGTGTGAGTGAGATGATTTATTTTTCGCTTATCCAGCATAATTTTGTGAAATTGAAATCTTTTAATCAGAATTGTATAATTCATCTGCCGTAGTTTTATGTTTAGACTAACAAATATTCAAAGTGTTTTATCACTGTGAATCGTGTTTTTCAGTGAAGGTGTTTTCCCCTTATCACTGAATTAGTTCCTGAAACGCTCCCGTATCGCCTCCTTTCAGAAAATGTCCGCTATTTCCGAGTGCTTTCTTGTCTTCTACACCATCTCTACTTGACGCTCTAAATCATGATTATCTCTGCATTTGACTGTCATGTCGTTTTGAGATAAAATAGGAAACGGACCTGGAACCCCCTGGAACTTTCTGCATGATCTCAGGAAGGTTAGCTACACAGGTACTCTCATATCCTCTTCCCTTGAATGTCTCCATATGTTTTAATAAACAAGGGAGTTTCATAAATCTGATGTAATTTCTCTGAAGTACTTGGCATGAGCACTAATTTGCCTCACTTTTTTCTTGTGGTGATATCGAACCATAGAGTACATAGAGTCGTAATGTAAGTGGGAGAAATGGTGCCACTTTTAAGCATTTTCCATGTCCCGAATTCCGAGACTCCTGTGTGACGCCGGGTCATTTTTTCGATACGTAATCGATTGTTTGCGATACACGGGTACCCGGCCATCCGATGACAACAACAACAACAACAAAGGAGATAGGAATTACCACGTATTCCACACCGCCATTTTGGATCGAAAATGTATCAAAAAAGCGACCCAAACGCGGCGCACACCGGGCTCGGAATTCGCCGAGCAGAACATGGCGCCAGCTCTCCCATTTACATTACGACTCTATGTACTCTATGTATCGAACCTACGAGGCTTGCATGCCCAAATCTCAGTAGGTAGGCATCTACATCAACTCCTGTAGGCGCTCATAACAACCCCTTTTGCCAGTACTATTTTTAATACAATTTATTTTTACTTGCAATATCTTGGTGTGACTTAATTTTACGTATGCTAAATCCAACTTAAGGCTATTTATCCACATCCTAGATTCTGATGTGGCTTAACTGAGGTGGGATGTATCACTTAGTTATCTGAAATGAAGACGCCTGCAGTTTTTGTCTTTTTTGCCCCCAAAAAGGTGTAAGCCCTCGCACTTCCGTTCAAACTTACTTCATTTAGAAATTGCTTGAGATGAAATTAGGATTTGGCCAAGAAATTCACTCAGAACAGAGATCAATTGTTGCTGGAAATGCAATGTACTTCTCGTAGCTAAAGTCTGTCTTCTTTTTTTCAAATTTTGGAATTTTTTGTGGCAAATAATTCTCTAAATTTGTATGCAGGAGCTACCATCAATTTTTTGGCTATGGAGTTCGTATTCGCAAAGAGTTTGGACTTAATCAATGCAATGAATGGTTTGACCACACCTAGAACCCAAGAACAATTTACTTTCCCTCATAGAAAATTCAAGGGAAAAACTTACACCTTCAGGGGATCTGGAAACCTGGAAAATCCAGAGAAATTCAAGGAATTCATAGAAATAGACAAAGGAATTCCCAGAGCATTATTCAGCAGAAGTCAGCATAGTTAAAAGGACCAACGAGAAAAAACAAAAAGTGACCCAAAACTGTATGTAATAAGGTGGAAAAATGGTGCTCGGTCCACACCATTTCGCAGGGGAATTAAAGCGGAGAAATTTCTAAAACTACGATTAGTGTAAAAAATTAGAGTTAAAATTCTTTTGACTCAAATCGTAATTTTTTTAATTTCTCGGCTTTGATTTCCCCGCGAAATGGTGTAGACCCAGCACCATTTCTCACCCTTGTTAAAAGGATATTAAATCTAAGTGGGACGTTTGTTTGACGGCCATAAAAAGTCAGGGAATCAGAAAATGAAGAAAGTAAGAAGACTCTGATCTGCTTTATGAGTGAATCTATGTTTTCATTTCAGGTTCATAATGAAGGCAATCCTCGTGCTCATTGGTACGTTGGTGCATCTGGGCATCAATGAATACATACCCCCTGGGCCGAAGTATCCATGTCCAACACGGAGGACTTATCTGCATTCGCCGGAGTATGATCCTTGTCACTGTAAATCAGGCTCTGATGCGGGTCTTTTTATCGAGTGTGAAAATACTAATTTAGCAAACTTGGCTTTCAGTTTGAGCTCCTTCGCAGCTTTTGATTCCCCAATTGAAGAGCTGAAAATAAGTCGTGCAAATATCTGTGAGTAAAATAAAATTTGTCTCTTTCACTTGATTTTTGAGTCGTTGGATTGTTACTGTCATGTTTCAATAAGGTGCGACGCGGTTAATTTCACAATTTGGTTGAAAATTATGAAAGTTTATGATTTTGCTAACATAGTGCCCGAGAAATAATTTTCAACGCACCTAGACCACTGGCAATTTTTGTGATTTGAACAGAATTTTTGGACCTTCTATGAGATCCAAATGTTGACTATTAAAAAATTTGACACATCTCTAAAGTTCAAATTACACTTCTTAGACCAGGATAACCCAAACACAGGTCCCATTGCACAGGTTGTTACAGTCAGGGAATACTGACAAAACTGGGAAATGTCAGAGAACTTTGAAAAGTGAAGGAAAAATCATTGAGCCACCATCATCAGCCAATCATTTAGCCACCATCATCAGCCAATCATTTGCTTCTTAAAATAGGTCCAACATTTTGCACAACTTTTGCCTGAAAACTATTCATCTCAATCATGTGTTTTTTTGTTTTTTTAATAAAGAGCGAGAGCCCCCTCTAGGTAGGGTTAACTTTGGCCGTAGTCGCCAGACAAACAGCCACTGCACATGGTTAGTACACATACATGCTCCAGGATATTCTAATTTTCAGGGATTAAGACTGAGATCTGTTCATCTAGTTCAGCAGATCTACTCATCGTCGTGTCTTTTTAACCATCTGGCATAGGTATCCTCAATCGTCAAGGAATTTTACCAAATTGCACTGAGGAAATTTCAGGGAAATTAATTTTCCAAACTCTGCGGCAACTCTGAAGATGGTTTTTTGTTTGTTTTTTAGCTGTTTTTCATGGTGATATTTTTTACGCTCTGAAAGTCCGCGTCTTGCGCTTGGAAAGCATTCCCATCCACGAATTTGATGCAGCTTTATTCCGAGGTATCAACTCCCATCTGCAGCAGATACATATTGTTTCAACTAATCTCACAAAGTTTCCAGAGAAATCTCTTGAGGTGAGTGTTTTAAATTTTTCATACCCTCCAGAGGCCAAGGCAAATGGTATCAGCTTACAAGATTTTCATCCTGTTCTTGAAAAGACAGAAACACAAATTTTTCTTGGAAACTTTTTTGGAAAAATATTTCCATACTGTATATTTTCAATTTAAGAGGTAATTGAAAAAATTTCCAGCAGAAGATTCCGAAAGATTTTTGTATGTGCAAACCAACCTGAGGTCAAGAATTTCATTTTTTCAACATAGTTTAAATACGATGATAATTACTTTGAGTAATATTCCATCGTTTTAATCTCTTCAAGATCAATTTAAAGATATCAAATAACTTCATAGGTAACCGGGAGTTTTTCAGGTGTCATGGGGAAACCACCAATATCCAATGTCCATTGTTTTTAATTCGTCTGATCTTGACAGAAGAGGAGCTTGACGCGTTTGGGGATTCTTTTCTTCAATCAACTCCTATAATAATTAATTTTCTAACATTTTTAAATCCTGTACATGAAAGGTTTGTACAGTTTGGTGAATTTTTTTCAAAATGAAAGAAACAGACATTAGCAGTTTTCGCACTACACAAATCAAGTAATATGGCAATTATGTAATCTCCACCTTTTTTGTAGGCCTTGAAGAATATTCATCTTGTGCGTCTCGATGGTCATAATATCTCTGCTCTACCTGAAGATTTATGCCGAGGATTTCCAACTGCAGAATCATTTCAACTGTCGAATGGAAGCTTAGCAGAAATTTCAGTGGGTGGTTTCAATTCATGCAAAAAGCTGAAGAAACTGTTCCTGAGTCACAACAACATAACGCAGTTGAAAAGCAACCAGTTCAAAGGACTGCGGGACTTGGAGGTTCTGGACTTGTCGCACAATAAAATTTCCAAACTAGAGGCATCGTATTTCAATGACTTGAACAAATTAGGATGGATCAATATGTCACATAATGAATTGGATTCGTTACCGAGGTAAAGTTTCCAACAAACATTTAAAACTCACTACAGTTGGACTTACTACTAACTTTATTTAATATTAGCTCCTAATTTTGCAACAAGGAATCACTACTTTTAGCTCATTCATAATCGCACCCTGTATAGGGAACGTTAAAGTGGGAGAGGAGAAGGAGAACAGGTAGAGGAGAAAATGGGAGAAGGGGAAGAAAAAGAGAGATTAGAAGAAGAAGAGAATGAAAAAGAAGAGAAAGCAAAACATAGGATACAGAAGCCGCGGAAAAAAGGAGGACAACAAAGAGATATAAGGAAAACGAGGAAGATGAAGAACAAAAGGTAGGAGAGAGAGGCGGGAAAGAAGAGGAAGATGTAGAAGAAGAAATAGTATTTGTCTGCACAGGAAAATTAATAGCCCATATATGTTATTTCTAAATTGAACCCACATTAATTGCCAAATGTAGTCCAATTTTACGAAGGTAGCTCGATAAACGATTTTTAACTCTTGTCTGTTTTGATTTTCCATCGCCTAGTGTGAGAAACTGGTTGAACCAAGAGTTGGACGATAATGAACAGTTTTAGCTCCCTTATCAAAGTGGAGCATCACTCATTTTATTTCATGTTTTTCTTTTGTGCACAAGTAAAAATTAGATTATCCTAACTAAAATGGCCGGCAATTGGTGTAGGTAAATGAATTTAAAAAACTGACTCTTGAAAATTTAGTTGATCAGGTTATTTTTTTATTACTGGTTTATTTTTTAATAGCTTACACTCTTACATTTATAATTGATTGAAACTTTAAGTTATGATAAACGAATAATTCTTAAATTTTTTGACTAGCTTATTTAAACACACATCATTTTCAAAATGTGATGATATACTTAAATATTCCATGTTGACTCTGCAAAAACTGATGCTTTGTAATTTTCTCTTAATATCGTCACCTCTGACTTCCAGCTATGTTGCCAGTCATCTCAACATTGTTTCAATTTTTTCTTCGAAACTTTTGCATCCATCTTGATGAAAATTTCCAGAATTAATATCAATGATAAAAGAAAAATTAGGTAACATTTTACAGGAATTATGTTAATTAATTTCTCTGTATAAAATAGGATAAGTCTGAGAAGTTTTGCAACCTTAGGCGCAAGTCTGAACGTGCCTGTGATACTTTGGCTCGAAAGTGACAACATTTTCATTCCATATGTATACTTACATTCTACTTATTTGTTGTATGTAATCGTTCTTAGAGAGAAAATCTCCTATACCTAGAATGTGAGAAAAATATTAGGGTGTCTTGAGAGCAGAAAAACTGGGGAGGTCAGGGAGATGATATTGGTCCGGGAGATTTCAGGGAGGAAAAATGTGTAACCGGGAGAATTTCAAACTCCCGTGCAAGATTTACATTTTTCGCACAACTTCATGGTATATGGTAGCTTTGTTTATTTTTGCATTTTTTTTCCATTTCGAAAAAAAGGGATTGGGGAAAAGTCAGAAAGATAGAAAACTGAGTGGTAGGGAAAGCCTGGAAAGTCAGGAAGATGGGGAAAATATTTCCCCACACCTTGACAAGAGGGGGAAAAAATTATGTTCCCCTAAAAATGAGTTTGGGAAATCTGGTGTTCAGAACTTTTGGGTTACAGTGATCTTTGGTGTGTCTAAAATGGCTGAAAATAATATTTTAAATATGCTTTTTGTTTTTGGAAACTTCTCCAACAAAACTATCCCACTCTTAATCCTCGATTCCGTTGTTTTGTTTCGCCATTATTGCTAACTGAGTAAAGTGTTCTTGTAGAAGAAGCAAATGTTTTTCTGTTGCATAATGGTTTACTAGATTTTATTTATCTACTTATTTCAGAGGTGTCTTTGCTAGAAGCACTGTCCTGAAAGTCCTGAATCTGGGGAACAATAGAATCAAGCGGTTGGATCCGAATTCCTTTCGAGGAATGAGATTAATTCGGCGCATCTTCTTAAATGATAACCTTATATCAGATCTTGGGAGGAATATATTCAGTGCCATAACCAGAATTGGCACGATTGATTTAGCACGGAACAAGTTGAAGAAAATTGATTCACTTCTATTTTCAGGCCTTCAGTATGCAGAGGTGAGTGAAATTGTGTAGCTCTCCTATGATTTTTCTTCTTCTTTACAAGCTGATTACCAAACCTCTTGTTGTGTGTATAAAGTTCTGTTTTGAGAAAATACGCAACTGAGTGGTTTTGCTTGAGCCTCCTCTAGCACCACATTCTTTTTGTGTAACAACTTAATATGGAAAGCAGGGACTCTGTGTCAGGGATGACAATTGGAAAAGTCTAGAATCTTTTATAAGAGATCATACCATACACTCTGATGAAGCGATAATTTTATGTGTACATCTGATGCCTTCAATTTTCATAATATATGTATCTGTTCTTGCACTTAGGCATGCATTGTTGCTTCTTTGTTGTTTTCTGGATTTCTTATTGGCCATCAGCACTTCTATCGAGCGCTATGATAGACTAAATTAATAAATTATACTGGTCTTCTTTTCAGTTGATTGATGTCTCTGAGAATGAAATCACTGAAATTGAAAAGGAAGCTTTCAAAGACATCTACTTGGCGGAAGTTGATCTCTCAAAGAATAAAATATCAAAAATCGCAGCTGGTGCTTTCATCAACTGTAACAACTTAACTCGCTTGGATTTCACGCACAACCAAATCGAACAATTCAACAAGTTTTCTTTTGATGAAAACACTTATGCTTTGTCTTTTCAGCTGTCTCACAATCTGCTGAAAGATATGTCTAAAGTAAGTTACTTGACTGCTCCATTTCTTTTTGTATTCTTACAAGCCTTCTACTTCAAATTCAAAGTTGCTTTTACGCAATATCAATTTTTATTTTACTCTGTTTTCCCCAAAAAATAAATACTCATTTTACTGTAGCAATAGGGCTTTCATGTAATTTTTCAAATTCATTTTTGTACCAAACAAAGTACGTGAAAAACGAGAATGCCTGCATTTTTTGGTAAAAAAGACAAAAAAGTCCAAAATTTCTACACTTCTATAATGTACTAGGTAATCTGTATTATTGAAAGTTACTGTGTTTCTTGATAACTTTGTAAATTCAATGTAATTTGTAAAGTTATATATGCGGGAGGAGGGGGAAATGGACGGCACAGAGAATAACGCCAGTAGAATCGGCTTTTCATACTAACAAACTTTGATCACAAAACAGATACGTATATACAGGTAATGGGCCTGTTGCAAACTTTTGCTAGAGCAAAAATAAGAGTTGTTTCTTCTAGATAATGCCTCAAAAATCACGATGAGCGCATCGGCAAAGTCTGAAATGCACTCATAACTTCACAGTCTGCGTAAGAAATTTGCGGTTTTTTGAGCTTCCCGCTTCAAAAGCGATACTACGGCACAGGTGAACATTTTGTAAAAGGAGTCGTTCCATCGTCGGCAATACTCATCATGGCCGACGCCAATCCGCCAAAACACGTGTGATGGGACGAGATAATACCTGAACTGGATTAGACCAGATAACAATCGGCGTGTTTTAACGTTCATGTTTTCCACGCCCGAATTGATTGACCTTGAACTCTCCTCGAATTACGCGCGGAACTGCGCGCAAGCGTCGGCCATGATGAATATCGCCGACGATGGAGCGACTCCTCTAACAAAATGTTCACTTGTGCCGTAGTATCGTTTTTGAAGCGGGAAGCTTAAAAAAACGCAAATTTCTTACGCAGATTGTGAAGTTATGAGTGCATTTCAGACTTTGCCGATGCGCTCATCGTGATTTTTGAGGCATTATCTATAAGAAACAACTCTTATTTTTGCTCTAGCAAAAGTTTGCAACAGGCCCATTGTCCTCGGTCAACGCTCGCAGGTGAGGTGCGTTAGTTAATACTGAAGAGTAAACATTAAACTTAGAAAGGTCGTTCAACACTTATCAGTTTTTGCCATATTTCATGACAATAAATGTAGATTGGCCCAAGGCATATAGCTCTTGTTGTACTTACAATAGTTTTAAGTAAAATTTGTTCCAAAAAAAGAAAAATGGATTCCGTTTTTCATTTAATTGAGTTTTAGCTGAGAAAAAAAATCAGGAAACCCCAAGGAAATTTCAAATCAAATTCCGTCTACATTAGCTGTAGCCAATTTTTTTTTTAAAATTTATTGATCAGCAAATGCCTCAAGATCTTATTCTCTGCCTTTTGTATATTCTTTTTGAAAATCTGAATATCCCAAGTTAATTCGTTCTCTTTTCTTCTTATTTTTAGATACCATTAGCAAATATGACAGGTCTGAAAATTTTGAACGTGTCTCACAATGAAATCACCACTATCCCAAGGAACACATTCCCCAAACTCTACAATATTTTCATGATCGACGCCAGTCACAACAAAATCGAAGAAATTGCTCATGCCGTTTTTCAGCCGTTGCTCAGCCTACGCTTCCTCAACTTGCACAATAACTCTATCGAAGAAATCAAGTCTCCCACTTTCGGCGCGATGTCGACAGTTCTCGAATTGGACTTGAGCTACAATAAACTCTTTGCAATTGGCCGTGGTGCCTTCAATAAATTGGACTCCATCAGCCTTTTAAATTTGAGCCATAACGCTCTGCAGAAGGTGACGGACATTCCTCCTGGTTTGACGAAATTAGACCTAAGTTACAATCAGATATCGGAAATAACGCCTCTTAATTCATGGCCGTCTATGAATGCGCTTCTGTATTTAAATTTAAGTCACAATAATCTGCAAGATTTTCTTGTTGGAGGCTCCTTCTCAAATTTATTGACGTTACGGTTTCTTGACTTGAGCTTCAACCAAATGTCCATCCCTCCAGTCGAGAGCATTGCGGAGCTGTCTTCAATGCAGGGCTTAGATTTACAGGCAAGTACATAACTATTTTCATGTTTCAGTTCTTTCAGGATAATTTGATCAAACGTTTTGATTTATCTCCTCAAGACTCAGATGACAAATAATGTCTTTCTGTATATGGAGTTTTGAATGACAACATTGTGTCTAGAACCAGAAAAAACCAAGAAACATCAGGATTCATCAGGGAACGAAAAATATCAAATTGATTTGTCAGAGAATGGGTCTGTTTCTACACAATATTAAACTTGGCCGATGCCAAGACAAGGCATTATTGTTGACAGCATGATTTAAGGAGTAAGCGGGAACACTCTTGAGACTGCTTTATTGCCTTATGGTAACGAATGCTCTCAGCATAAAAAGCTGGTGGTAAACTTTAATTCTTACTTAATTTGTGGTAAAGGATTTACTTGGTAGTATCATTTTACTTTTTGTTTTTCAACATCAAGAAATAACTATGGATTTCTTTCTCTTATGAATTTTTTCCTTCTCCAGGGCAACATAATATCGGAACTTGGCCCTAAATCATTTGGAAAACAGGGCGTGCTGAGCAACTTAAATCTAGCAAACAATGAAATCAGCATCATCAGCGTGGGGGCATTTGAAGGATTGATTCAACTCACGCATCTCAATCTGTCGTCAAACAAACTATCCAGTGTTCCAAACGGAGCATTCTTCAGTAAGTATCGTCCTTTTTTAGAGGTAGCTGTCACTGCAAGTGAAAGAATACCGCTTGTGGGCACTAATAGGAAAAATAGCGGCTCAAGTGGGAGAGCAAAAGAACGAAAACTGATATAAGGAACTGAAAGATAGAAAATATATTGAGATTAATTTAAAAACTTTAACAAAAGACGTGACACCTAGATTTAAAGCGTGAAGGGTGACAAGGTCTATGTAGTGTACGCACGGGTGTACAGTGGAAGGACTTTGAGAAAGATGCAGCCCAAGCTTATATAGACTTGTTGATGTCACCAGTGGTGAGACAACAAGGCTATGCGTGATTGGTTGGCTGTAATCAGTGTAGCTATCAGTTGCAAGACTGGTCATCAGATGAATGGCTGATGGCTGGATGATAATGTTGAAAACTGAAGATTGAGTCAAAAAGTAAATAAATCCAGACATTATTAATGACTAAAGAGAGAAATGTAAGGAGCAAAAAGAATTAAAAGTTCTGGGACTTGCAGGGCCCACGACAGTAGCATTGGGTCACAGGAGTGCCGAGAAAACTCTGCCATAACTTCTGTGCATTCCTGGGAATAGCATTCTCAATTTTTTATATCTGCAAGGATTTTGCTGAAAGACCTATTTGCTGCAGTGGGGCAGTTAGTGAATTTTTTCTGAATCCCTACTCTGAAAATATAAAAAAAATAAGTATGTTTTGTCTCAGTGAAAATGAACAAGGTTTGTTAATGTTTGGAACTTCATTAAACTCTGATCAACGTCTCAAGGTACGGCAAGTAAGATGCGGAGATGAAGGGCGCAATTTGGAATGTAATTCAAGTTCCTGTGCCTTTACAAAGTTTTTTGTCTGCAAATTACATATCGATGGTGAAACTACCAGACCATGTATCTCGGTTTGCTACATTGTAGACTTCTTGTCATACTTCATTTTTTAAATGGAAAACTACTCAATATTAATTCTTGAAAAGTTCCGTGCTTTTTCTTTTCTGTGCAAAGAAAACTCTAAGGAAATTTCAAGAAATGATATTGATTTATATCTCCTTCAAAAAAAAAAAAAAAAATGGGAGCGGAGACTTTTAAACACAGTAAATGAGATATGCGGTCTGGTAGTTTCACCGTTGATATGTGTATGTTGAACCATTAACTTGGTCTTTGGCCGTTAATTGCGTAATAAGAGTCCACACTTTACGTTCTTTGGGTACTTGAGGCATGGAAGTTGAAGGTACAATGCAGAGCGCACCTCAAAGTGCTATGTCTCAGTCATTGACTTGCACTTGTGGTGACTTGCAAACTGGAAATCTTTCCTTTAAGGGTTGCACTGTGAAAAGATGAACCAATTAGGGCCCAGTCACAAAGTCTGCCCATTTTTACAGAGGGCTTCTTTATTAAATTTAAGTTTTCTTGCAAAGACTGCAGGGAAGATTTTTTCAGAGCAAACAGTTGTATCATTAAGGTTTCAAAATGAAATTCATTTGTCAAAACCAAATCACTGATTAAGAACAGAATCCTACGTGAATAGTTGCTTGCTCTGGTAATGATATCAGTGCGCAATTTATGTATTTATCAGCAATCAGCATTTAAAAAAATTACTGAAATGTCGAATATCTTTCCTTCTCCTGCAATGTTTGTGATTTTTTTATCTGCAGTAAATGAAGCGTAAAACTGAAAAGAAATTAAAGTTACCAATTTTAGTTCAAAAAACCCAATTTTAGCTGCACCGTTTTTGTCATGCGCTGTACAGGATAGTCCTATCCATATCTTGTTTTGTTACGTAAAATATCTATTGGTTCATCATTTATTATTCCAGGTTTAGTTGCATTGCAAACGCTTGACTTGTCTTACAATGAAATAGAAACATTGGATAACAAGACAAACAGTTTGTTTGAAGACCTATTATCTTTAGAAAATGTAAGTATTTTTGCTTTTAATTTTTTTCTCTCTATCATTTATCGTGATTATCGTGATTTATCGTGAAAAAGTGAGTACTATAATAAATTAAATTGTTTCAAAGATAAAGTTTTTGCTTTAAAATCATGCAGACTTCCAGTCTGATAAGCATGAGATCAGGATTTCTAACTGTCAGAGAAACTTGGATAGTCTGGGAATTTTCAGCGACTTGCAAGCGTCAAGAAATTTGTTGGAAAAGGAAGGTAACTTTGCAAGCATTTCGTTGGCTCAGTAATTTCAACCAGTGCATTTAAAAGAGCGCAGATAACTTTACAGTGCTTTTTTCAATAGTTGGTCTGTTGCATAAATGACGTACAGCCAATCGATCAAATTTTTTATAGGTAAAATACAACAGGAATGATGCTGCATGCAAGATACTTTTCAGTATACTTCGAAATATGAAGGCGCGAGAGTGAATGCACCGTAAGCATCATTTAAAAAGTACCACCATGGAACACCTCTTCTCTTCCTTCTCTATATCTTCTCTATCTTTTATTTTCTCTTCATCTTCCATTTGTTTCCATTTTGTTTTCCCAAGTTTATTATATTGCACCGTCTTTTGATCATAACAATTTTTTTTTCAGATTCATTTGAGTCATAATAAAATCTCATACATTTCCCGCAAGACGTTTCCAAGTATTCCTTACACCAAATTCAAAATCAAACGTGTCGATTTAAGCTACAACACTATACCGGTCATGACCACTGATATGAAGTTTGGTACTTCTACTATCATCTCATTGAACCTGAGTCATAACATCATCAATGAAATAACTCCTTGTAAGTAATTCTTACCTTTTTAATTATTTTTCACCCAAAATTTTGACGAACAATCATTGTTGAAAAGATTCATTTAAGATTATGGATCAGTTTGTGTTTGAAAAATTGCAAGGGGGGGGGGGTGGCTTGGGTCAGGCCTTTTTTCATGATTTTAAAGGGGGAGTTAGAAAGTCAGCTAAGATTGCCTCACATTGATTTGTTCTCCTTCAAAAAATTGAAATGGAAGTGGAACTTTTTAAACACCACAAGTGAGATACCAAGTCTGGTAGTTTCACTGTCAATATACTGTTTGTCATCAGCTGAAATTCATTAGCAATTAACCATTTGAATTTCACATTCCCTCTCATACTGAGAGAGGTTCTTTTGATTTTACTCTTTATCTGACGTGTAAGTTAATACGTTCGTTAATCCTTTTTTTTTGTATTTGACCATCTGTGCGCTCATGTACTAACTTTTTATTTAAAATTTCAGTGGTGATAAAAAATTTGACATCACTGCATGAACTTGATTTATCGTACAACAATCTGGACATCAATCACATTGAAAAAGGAGCTTTTGCTTTACCTCCAAACATGACGTATTTCAGCATCGCAAACAACAATCTAAAAACCATACCTATCGATGACATTCTGTCATCACCGAAAAAGTTGCACGTTTTTGACATTAGAAACAATCAGTTTCCTCACTTAACAGATGAACTACTCAGCTTAATTTTGAATGGAACGACAGTCTTGTATGACGGTGAGTTTCTTCAGCATCAAAATTTCTGATTTTTTGTCTGTTACTTCTGCTGTTTTTTTCTCTATAGGTCACGACTCTCAATTATTATGTCTGGAAAGTCTTAAGACCAAGTGAAATGCACTATTTGTAAGTTGGTACCTGTATAAGTCAGGAATCTGCATAAGTTGGTGCTAATACCTGGTTCCATTGTTACCGATTTCACGTCACATAAGTCAGCGCTCTTTAGAATTGTGTAACTCTGGGCTAATAAAATTTTTTCGTCTTGAGGGATAAAAAACTCCTGAATTCCATTTTCCTACTTTTAAATTCACTCTTGTTTTATCCAATTTTAACCACGAGTTTTATTTTAAATTCCCTCTAGTTTTATCCAATTTTAACAACGAGCTTTATTTTAAATTCCCTCTCTGATTATTGTTCATATTTCAATAGTGGCTCTCTAAGAAAATGCAAATCACATTTCTTTTTGGAACTGGACATCTGATGAAACTTCAATATTTATATGATTCTGAAATTGCCTTTTTGTAAATATACTATTTAAAGTTTGAATTATGTCTTTTTCATTTCTGATAATTTTATTTTTTTCATAGGTAACTCTTTCGCCTGTAACTGTTCAGCAAGGCGTCTATACCGATTTGTCAATCAGAATCTTCATCCAGTGTCTCACTACTCTTCGCTGAGGTGTTCTAAACCAGAGACTCTTCGAGAACGCCTTTTTGTAGCTCTAAACGAGGACGAACTAAGGTGTGACTTTGATTCTGATGAAGAAAATAATATTGACTTCCGGACAACACCAGATGTCATGTTCAATAAACAGTATAAGTAAGTTGTTCGCTTCTATTGTCTTCTGTACTTTCTGCATTTTAAAATCTCCACTGTATATCAGAAACTAGGGGGCTACGCTCCCTGGCCGCTACGCGGTGCAGCCCCCTGAAGGCGCTCCGCGCCATCAATGGGCCGCTTCGCGGCCCTATTTTTACCTTCTATCAATGTTAGTTTTATTTTTCCCCTAAAAATTACGATATGAGGTATACTTTACTTTCAGAATGAAAGAACTTTTGGTTTTAATGAATAAAGAAAATTTTTTTTTTTTGAAGTCAAAAGAACGCGTTTTGGAATGACTGCTTGATGAAATATTGCAGTAAAACAACGAACAATGATAATCAGGTGATAATTGAGATAGTCAGGAGTCGGGGATTCAAACCCACATCGTGATCTAAGTGGACGCATCCGACGTCTTAGATGACTGGGCCACCGCTCGTATAGTGATGATCGGTGTGAATCTTGTGTAGATAAGTATAGAGCTGATGCGCAGGCTACCCAGCTACTGCGCAACCTCCTCGACCACTGCGCATCCTCCCGCGCTTAGCGGTAGCAGTTCCGGAGCATTCTGTAAATTCACTCAATTTTATAACTTGATTTCAAAAAAATCTGGGTCCCATCTCCAAAATCTGATTAGAGCGGGCTCATCTAGGGCCTATTACCTGTCGATTTACGCAAAAATCATAGAAATCGGCCCGGTAGAACGCTCAAACGAACTATGACAAAAAGTATAAATTTACATTGTTTTAATGGGAGAATTCGCAACTTTACCACTTAATATTAAAAATCCTGGGCCATATTTTGAAAATCTGAAAAAAGTTGGCTTATCTAGAGACAATTGCCCGTCGATAGCCGCAAAAATCATTAAAATCGGCCCGGTAGAACGCTGGAACTAAGCGTCACCAGTTACGCAAAATTAGGAGGTCTTGGAGCTTATATATATGATACAATACTTTCTCTCTAAAACAAATCAGCAAGGGACTAAAACTATTTTTCGTTTCGGAGAAATTTTCATCATAACTCCTTTGTTGTGGAGAAATTTTTGTTATAATGGGTGTCGTCAATTTTGAATTGAGAATTATGTTCAGGGAAAGTGGGAGGCAATTTATATTTCGGCACAAGATGAGGTATCACATGATTAGTGCTGTCTTGAAAAATGCTTGATTTTAAAATTTTAAGATGTAATACTCTCTTTGACCCGTAGAGCATCACAAATTTGATGAACGGTTCCTAATCTTGACTGTCAAATTCATTGAGATATTTATTGTCATTTCCCGTTTCCATTGAAGAATTTTTGGTCTGATATTATCATAGGATGTAAAATGTAGACTGTACTTAGAGCGTACAAATTGTATGTATTTTAAAGACAAAAATTAAGTCTTGTTCGTGTTCTTACTCATCAATCATTGGTAATCAATCAGAGATTGACCTTCTGTTGAATAAAAATAGTTTTATAAGCAGACTCTGTATAAGAAGCTCAGATCATCCATTTTTTGGGAATTCACTGATTCCTTGACCTAGAGCCCAGCCGCTCCTCTGCAAAATCTTGAAAGTACGACTTACCTCCTTTTTTTTCTACTCTCATTAATTCTGTAAATGGTAGGAAAACACAGTAATTGTGATATAGTAATGGTAGCTCATGAAATTTCATTCCTCTCAAAATTGTAGAATTTCATCCTACGTGAAGTTATCTGTTCTGCCTTCCATTTCAATGCTTTTTTTTAATCAGTTCCAGAGCCCTTAAAGGAATCAATTTCTCCTGGAAAGTATCCCAAATAAAAGATGACATTGGGGATTTGCTGATGGTGGTCAGACCTAAGTCGAACTTGGGTTATCATGAAGGACCAAAAGCATTATTATCAAAACTAGTTGCTTACAACATTAGATCTGACAGAATCTCCAACGTTCCTTCCTCTGATGTAAGTTGATGTTTTTTTTTCTTAAAAAAAAGTTTTTTCTACAGTATGTGACTGCCTATAAAAAAGGGACCTTTTTAATGGAAAACTTAAAATTAGGAAAATCTGCACCTCCTGCTGTCAAGAAGAGCGCCTAAAGAACTCTTTGATACATGTATAAAAACACAAAAATGTTAAAAACAACCGAAACGGTAACAGTTAAGCATTTGAAATTTAAGAAAGACTCTTTTAGAAAAAAAACTATTCATTTTTAATAATTTATGCTCTTGGCTGAGGACTGTTGGATTGTATATACTTTGTCTAAATGTCGTATATTCGTGTAGGAACAAACAAAACTGCTTGAAATTTATTCTTTTGGATACCTGAGAGGACTTTATTGAAAACTTAAACACTGACCTTCATAACCCAATGTAACATATAGCTTACCTGAACATTTTGCTCCTAAATCCTTAAAAAATTACCGCGCTTTAAAGTTTTTATCTCATGTTTTGCTTAAAGAAAAGAAGAATAATAAAGCTCTTTCCATAGAAAAATTTCATCACAGATTTTCTTTTGCCATCTGATGCACTTGAGCATCTCTTCATCTCTGATATCATATTCAACCATGATCAAACAGTGATCAAACTGTTGGTAAGCTTTCTTTAAACTTGAATATTTGATGACAGCTGCTGACCATCGACTATAAAATATCAGCAATCTGCCAGTATTTGTCGGGAGATAGTGAGGCTGTGAGCGTCGAAGACTGTTTCAGATAACTTGTCCTTTTTTTTGCTCTATGGAAATAGAGAATTAATCCACGTATACAGCAAAAAAGGATGAGTTATCCGAAACGGGCCTTGGCAACTAATATCAATAAACTGTAGGCAAATTCTTGCCAAACTTTGTCCTGAAAAAATCGGAACGTGAAATTCCTCACAATTTGCCAGAGGTGAGGATGACTATCTTTGGGGAAAAATTAATTTCTGTGTGTGGATTTGATTTATCTGTAAATTCGTTAGCTCCACCTATCAGCGGCTAAAAATCTATCGTTCAGAATATAGAGACCCCAGGCTTCTCTTTGATTGAGATCTAGCAGATGAAAAATCTCAGCAGAAACTTTTATTTTTTCAGCTACTTTTAAAATTGTACAAATAGCTTTTAGTTTTTGATAAATTAGATCATTCTAAAATGTTTCTTGTTTCCATATGATGGTCATTTTACATTCTCTCATTATTTGTATATCCCATTTTTACCACTTCCTTGATTGTGATAAAAATGAACGGAGAAGGGACTGTCATGACTTGGAGTTCAGGGAACAGCCTTCTATGAGACTCAAGTCTACCTTTCTTTGCAATTTTTCGTATAACTTTTTTTTGGAGTATAGAAATCAATAATCTCTCCTATCAATTAGTCCTCATGTTGTTTTTTTCAGGGACCGTTGCAACTTTGCCTATTCGCTCAGGATAGCGAGGGGAAAATTCGGGACAAAGTCACCGATCAGTGTGAAGATATTCTCGTGAGCTCTGCCTGGGATCAAGGATTACATCGCTTTTTGATTCCTGTACCATTACTTATTTTGTTGTATTCTTTACTATCATTTTAGTGTGTTGTGTAATTTTTACACAGCTCTCATGAAAGTCACCATGAGCATTTTAAATGCTTAACTTTTGTGCAATATTTTTCCTTCAAGTTTTATTTTTTTTATTTTTACATAGGTGTTTAAGTGTATTTTTTTGAAACGTATGTTTTTCGTTCACTGCTAAGCAAGGTGAACAAAATTTTTTTTCCCTGAGTGACCGTATCATTAGATGAATTAGAAAAAAAACAATTTTTTTCCAAGCTTTTGTCAGTGTTGAGAGTTCTGTACTTTATTGCAACTGTCATAGAGAGATTTAAACTGTTAGTTGATGCTTTTTTTTCCAAAATATTTTAGGGAAGGGTCATCTCTTAACTACCAAACGGCTAGACACATTTATCATTACAAAGTTACCAAAATTTGTGTTGAACAATTGTTTTTAATTTTTTCCCCAAGCCGTTTAGGTGCAATCAAAATACTCCCCTAAAGGTTGTTATCAGATTTTTTTCTGCGACTGTCGATTTTAGTCTGCACAAAAAAGTGTCAATTTACTAATTCTTTGGGTTTTTAATGGAAGTATTTTTATATTTTGTGAGGATGAAACTTGCATCGCTTTGAGTTTAACAGTAATTGAACATCAATTTTCGTTATTATTTGAATTCGATTCAGAACTATTTTTTTTGGCGTCATAGATTCGGCATATCGATAATCGATCTCTGGAAGCAATTATTTTATTTCAGCACTGATACAATAGTATAAATAAGATCTGTGTATGAAGATAGTTTTAATTAAGATGATCGTCTAGGTTTTCAAATTAGGTTGAAGATTTCGCCTAGAGTAGCACTATTTCCTTAAGAGAACCTCATAATGTCAATTGATGACAGCATTTATTCACAGTGATGCGATTCAATCACTTTGTGTTTTTTTGATCCTTAGCATCTCTCATTCTTTATTTAGTTAATCATTTTTTGTTGTTGTTTCTATCAAACTTGAATTGAATACTCAAAAGCAACGAACTTCCAAAATTAATTGAAGGATTAATGGTCGGAATTTACTGGAGTCAGCCTAAATACATTTTATGTCACTTAATTTCCTCTTATATTATATTTTATCAACAAAGAACTAAGCTACTTAATGTCTCTAAACTCTCTGTAAAGTTACTCTAGATTATGAAAAATACTCTCACAAAATTCGAAGTTTCTGCGTTGCTTAGTTTTCTGCCTAAGAAACGAAACATCAGAGGAAATTAGGCAACATCTGATGTCGTCAGGCTGACTCCTGTTTAATCCGTCCAAATGTTGTAAACAATGCTCAGATTTGCTCAATGTTTTTTTGTATGATTTTACATAGGAACGATGTTTTTAAGTAGCATTTCTATATTTCTAGATAATTTAAACAAGGAGGCTTATTTTTAGTGTGTAATAATACTCATCGCACATAATTCATATGATTAAATTTACTTACATTTCTACTGGGTTGAAATTGACCAAGTAAGTATTAAGGATAGGATATCTCAATATTGATTGTTAATTGAAAAATCGTCGATCAAAAAACATCTTTTACAATCTGGCTGAAATCTCATTCAACCGACAACCGCTCTGACTCTGCGTCTCTTCATCTCAATGGAAATACCTATTCGATAGACTTAAATTTTTTATTTACTGATTTGACAATTATGGATTTAGATCATAGTAATTTTTAACCTTTTTTAATCCAACTTGCATTTTTGAATTGCTCAACGATTTTTTCAATGGTGTCGGCACTTTTGATTTATTTCAAAATTTTTTAAGCACTGCCCCACATGAGTGGAAAAGCTACCTCTAATTCAGTAGAATAGTATATGCATACATCCATACTACTGTACCAAGGAAAAACACCGTATGAGCCTTCAGATGTTTCCATATTTCCTTCAACAAAGAACAAACCTGCTGGAAAAACTTTGAATACTTTTCTTTCAATTTTTCAGACAATTTTGTTCGCAATTTAATCTAAAATATCTGGAAATTGCAAGAAAATGTATGCATAACTTTCCTAAAAAATACCTTTTTCCCTGAAATTTGGCAAATTTTGAATGTTTATACGGCTTTCTTCCTTACCATAGTAGTATCATTATCAGGTCTAAGTCTGATTATTTAAGACTTAAAACATCTTGTCTATTCTATCCCTGAATTTCCTCACCAGTTCTACTTCCATAATACCTCTCATAGGATTCTCATTAGAATATTCTAGGATCTGTGCTAAAATTTCTTTCAATGAAAAAAGTGAATTAATGAAAGAAGTTTTTTTCAAGACTTTTGCAAGAATTCTTTAAGGTTTTAGCCGTCATCATAAGAAAGAGGTGAAATTTTCCTTAAAAGGGAGGCTAACTGTGCTGCTTCTTCTCCTCAAGTAACACAATTGGATATTTTTGTCTATTTTTTGTCAGAAAAAGATACAAATTTTTGCCAAATGAGATGGTTTGCTTCCTGATTTTTTTAGGAGTTCTTAACTCTTGTTAATTTACCCTGACGTGGACCCAAGCTATATTTACGATAAAAAAATGAAGACTGTATTCTCTTTAGTGAAAAACTTTCATACCCTCAGCTGTGGGATGAATTTAAACAAAAATGGAATGTTATCTTCTGAAAGCAGTTGAGGATTGACTGTGGATGACGTGCCACCTTGCGCAGAAACATTAATTGTTAATTTACTGCATGTGACTGTCAAAAGTAAACAACTATCTAACTATCTGACATGAGTTCTACCTTAATCAGTTTTAAGTGAGAAAATAGATCTGTTGGTAACATTGTTAGTAACAATGCCTGTTTTATTTTAAACTTGGTAATGTTGCATCAGAACCTTGTTATGTTTCCGGAAGTATTTACCATAATCCACTTGTAGGATGAAAAATATGTTTCTCATACTCTCACTATTCTTGTATACTTTTTTCAGTGAAAGCGTGTGGATCTACTTAAATTTCCAAGTATTACTTAGTCTTTACCACTGTACATTTATTCATGCTAAGTTTTTCTATATTAAATTGTAATTTTGTTTTATTGTGGCTGTGTTCAACGAAACTTAATTATTGATAAATAGTTTTTAAAATGAAGTAAGATGAAGAAAAGGTAAAAACGTAAATACATAAGAGTTTTGTAAAGTTGGTCTACAAATTGTAAATAGGTAAACATGTTACTACCACGCAGGGCATTTCTGCCATGCTAAGGAAAAACGCCGTATAAACCTTCAGACATCGCCTAATTTCTTCTGATGAAATATCTCCCAATTTTTCAGTGAATTTTCTTCTCAATTTAATTTCTAAAATCTGAAAATTTCAAGATAGGAAAGATACTCATAAATTTCCTAAAAAATGAATTATTTATAAGGGGAATTATGACAACAGTTAAATGTTCAAGTGGCCTTTTCCCTTGGCATGGCAGACTTAGGATTATTATCAAGATACTGAGTTTGATCGAAGTTGCTGATGGTATTGAAATGATGCAGGGTCATTATGGTTAGTAGTGTATGGATTTTTACTGCGTATTTTTATTTTTGTTCGTGATGCGATTGTTTCTACTATCTGTAGCTTACATTACATTCCATTCCTTGATTTGATAGCTAAATCATTGACCCATGTTTGTTATTAAAATATTGGAAAATGAGATTTCTAAACTTCTGTTCTACACTGTTCTTCACAGAGTCATAGAGGAGTGTTTTTTCCCTTAAAATTTTGGACATGTACGCAATTTTTTTGCACAATAATTCTATTTAAATTTCAAGTAGAATTTAATTTGTAACTTACGAATCCATCAAATTTTAATTTTAAAATGAAACTATAGTGGGAGTAATCAAACAACAAGAAATCAAACTTAATTTTCTAAAATACTGGTTTCCTTTTAAATTTTTGGCAAAAAACTGTCCAGAGATGACTTTCAGATATTTTTCTCTGAAGGGAGCACTCTGTAAACCCTAAAATAGAGCTGAAAGTATGCACACAATAAAGTTAGTTTTTTGAAACTACTAATAAAATGCTATATTTCGTGCTCACACATTGTCAGCTTTATTAAGGTTTACAAAATAGAGTCTTTGATGAAAAACAGTTGAAATGTGCCTCATGTATAATCGATTCCTTTTTTTTTTTACGGTATTTTTGAACAGTATTTTAGCAAAATATGTTCGATATCTCGATGATTACTTACCTCTCCTACAAATTCACTTGTAATCCTAATCTTGTTACTATTGTTCAGTACATTTTGAGTTCTGAACTATGTTTTAATTGGTAGTTCATGACTATGAACACATTTTAATTTTTTCTATGATAAAAGTTTGCGGAATGAGAAAAAGCCTTTAAAAAGTAAATAAAATACCTAATCATGTCATCTTCTTACCTCTAGTTACCTTCCAATCTCTCTCTCTCTCTCTCTCCCCCTCTCTCTCTCCCTCCCTCTCCCCATCGCTCGCTCCTTCTTCAATGGATAAATTCTAAAATTTGACTGCACATTGTAAATAATTCTGAAGACAATCTTCTCACAGTATTATACACAGTATACTTTCGCTGAATGAGATTTACACAATGCATGAAATCTTTCTTCGGCCAAATATTGTAACCACTTGAGTTTTCCGATTTTGTAATGACAGTTTCGTTTCCTCTTTTTTAATGGGGTTTCCAGGCCTGGTTTTATACTAAGTACATTTATATTTTTCTGATTTCTGATGGTCGATACTTAGCACAAGTAATTCCTATTTAAGTTAAGACACAATTTAGTTTTGGACTTGATCATCCAGATTCCAATTTATAATCTTGTTTATTTGAATCTTTGCAATCGTACATTACGCCTTTTAGCATCATCCAGTCTGAAGGTGTATCAAAAGTTATTGCTTCAGGAAAGAGTATTTTCTTATTTTCAATTAATTAATTGAATCTTTTTTTTTTCAATAAATTTTTTCTAGCCTTTTCCTTGAACTCGTAAGCAATGACTAATGATTTAAACGCACTTTGTAAATGAAGTCTTGGGCACTTCTAAGTTTCACTGTCCTTCGCGCCCCTCAATTGTGAATCAGTATCAAAGTTTTCACTTTATATTGTGCCAAGTAAACATTCAATCAAGATTTATACCTCGAATTATTTTTTCTACTGTATTATTTGTAATTTTACTTGTTTTTATATTCTTCATTTAAAGCTCTCTATCTGCCAAAAACTTGCTGCTGTGAGTAACTGTAATGTCATGTGTCAGTGTTTAAATCCAGGCCCTATTTTTATGTTATTGTTGCAAACAAAACATAAATAAACCTTTTTTTTTCCCTTGAAGAACCTTGTTTATTTTTATTCCATCCTCTCTCTCTTCACTTACATTCTGTTCCCTCAGGCATAATTGATCTCACAAGTGAAGGATATGACAAAATAAGGAGATAGTTTATATTCTCGAAAAAATTGACATGTTGATTTTTTCTAGCAAAACTTACAATATTTCGTGTGAGGGTACAATCAGAGAAAATATTCGATATTAAAGCCTATTTTGTAGTCTTAATAGGTACTAGAGTTGAACTTTTTTGTGTTTCTTAATCAGTCATGAATCTTATTTGCTCTCAAATTTTATTTTTCATCAGTCAACGTTTTTGTGCAAAATATTTAGTTTTAGTGAGAATTTTTGAAAAAATGAGGAAAAATCAAACAGAATTTTATGCAACAACGATGACCAGTCCTTCTTTTAAGAAGTGAAATATGACAGGAGAGTTGCAACGATGCAAACTGATGCTCAAGGATTGGTAATGCCACCATTTAGGTACATGCTTCTCTCAAGATTTCTTCAAAAAGTAAAGTTGCTTTTTAAATGCCCCAAGTAAGTAAGTCACTCATCAATGCAATTCAGTATTTTTAGACAAGAATAATCTTAATAATAAGTTTCTAAGAAGTGGTCCTTTCCCTTCATCCTCATGCTCACATACCAACAAAAAAAAATGAAGGTTTGCATCAATTACACCGCCCAAATTTAACGAAACTCTAATTGTAAGTAGCTGTTTTCTATAGTACATATTTTAATTTCCTTTCGAAGTGTTGTGAGGTTTTGACGCCCGTCGATTTAAATTTTCGCGGGTATATTTGACATGACGCAATATTACTGTCCCTAATGACGATGACACAACTCCTTCACTGATTGGGCAACAATGCTTTGTTTTGACTTTGAACTTCGTTGTCCGATCAAGGAGAAAATACAGGTCATGGTGAGTGGAGGAATGTACATTTGCACGTCATAGCAAGCAACCGAGAGTCAAATTGGAGTTGTAGTAGAGTTGGGTCATGTACGGCGTGAAATAGTATCTGAGCCTTGCAATAGTCTCATTCTCATTGGCTGATAGACCGATGTACAGTTTTACGTCATGACTTGATGGCTGCCTCGCCCACACATACCATTGTTTATTTACGTTCTATATTTGCTCTATGTAGTTTGCCTTTGCATGCATGTGCAATTTCCACGGACTTTTTTTCAAAGCATTCTCTGGGCCCTGGGATTTTATTTTACTGTTTTCTACAGTCTAACTTATCAAAAATCATTCTCAATCAAAATTTGAAAGTGTGCCACAGCGTTCCAGACGACCAGTCTCAAGTTTTTGGTCAGAAACCTAGTGAATTGTTCAATTAGCCCAGATATTCAAACCCATCCATCAGCTTCAGAATCCCCACGAGAGGTCAGTAAGTATTCTCTTCTCCATTCCTTTAATGCTGAAGGAATTCAGTATAAGCTCCATTAAATGTACCTACATGCCAAATCATGTATCTCTTAGAATTCCTGATCGCTCACAGCAACAGGTACAAAGAGAGAAGACCCCATCTCTGTCTAACGTTCGCTTCATCAGCACAATGATAAATCATCATTCATCGTCTCTTATCAGCCAGACGGTATTCTTGAGAATGAGACAATAGCTTTTTTTCATCATTTTGATTAGAACCCATTCCAGGAGTCAGGGTTAGCCAGAACAATTTATGAGTAAGTTCTTTAGAGTCCATGTCAAATAAGTTTACGCACCTCTAGACTTCGACACAAGATCCACCATCTTGATTCTTCCATTTACTTTACATGTAAAAGTGACGTGAGACAATCTTCTGTCGCTGTCTAGAAGTGTGTTGTCAACTTTATTCATGACGATATTGCTGTAAGGGGAGAACTGAGCTCTCCTAAAGGTAGCTGGGTGTGAGAGCTGAAATCCCTCATTATTGTCATGGGCTGGTAAAGTTGCTGGCATCAGCAACTTGCTGACCAGCTTATTGTCAGGTCGATCTGTTCTTTCTCCAGTGCCACTCAGGGGAGCTTTAATCTTGGTTTATGCGGCACCAACGGTCAGTGGCGCGGCGCAAGATTTGTGGCGTGATCGTGAACCGCAAATCTTTCTCTCCGCCATAAGAATCGCTGTAATCTTGAAACTTCAAACTTGTGTTTTTTGAAACAGCAAAAACTGCACTTATACACCTTGTCCTCTAAGCCCCTCAATTATGCTTTGAAAAAGAAGGGAAATTACAAAGAATGGGAGTGAATTGAAAATGATAACTGTGGCGGTTTGTTTTATTTACGCAGCACTCGATTTGCGGTTCACGATCACGCCACAAATCTCGCGCTGAACCACCGACCGTTGGTGTCGCACAAAGCAAGATTAAAGCTCCCGTGTGTGGCACCGGTTCTTCCTCCTCATATCTCGATTGCCACCAGAAAGAAGGAGGCCAACCTAACCTAATCATATAATCAAGTCTCATCAGGCAAGTGTATAACTTACAATAGACTGATTTAGTGACTAAGTCATTCAATATTCCCTGGCTTCACTCAGAACATATGAACTGTTCAGATATTGATTGCTTTGCTGCGCTTTTCAAGGGCGGCTTAATTAACTGTTGATTTATCGAACGGCATAGTTCCTAAATTAGTCCATTATCAGTCTCAAAAAATGTAATTGAGCAGCATGGATGGTTGATATATCTTTGACCGAATAGGTAAAACCCCAAAATGAGACTGATATTGCCCCCTCATGAGAGAAATTGCTATTTTTATCTGTTATGTATTGTCTTGAGATTTTATGCTCTCCTTTGAATTCATGTTTCTCTAGCAGCCTGATCGTTAAAACTATTTCTGGTTTTTGGCTAGATGTAATGAGAACTTATCTGTGCTGTGTAATCAACCAATGTTTGATGTCTTGTTGTGCAGACAGACATTTCAACAAGCAGGTTGCTGAGCTTGATTCTTGGTTTACTAAGTAATCTCTTCTCTTTGGTATCTCTCAAAGCAATATTAATTCTAACTTCAATTCGTTTCTTTTGATTCATCTCTCTTTCTTTGTTCCTCAACTCAGATTATCTTCGACTGAGACCAAAAATTCAGGTTGCCTGGTAGAGATTTAAATCTGAGACTTTCTGATCAGAGCTAGCGATACAATAATTGCATTACAGGATGCCATCTCACCAGTTATCCGCTTAATCATAACCCATAAGTAAATTTGCGTGAGCATTATGCTGAGTAGCGCATTCAAGTATGCAGGTATAGATTTTCAAACGGGAGAAGTTGTCATTTCTCTCTCAGTCTCTTCTTATTGTCTTTTGTTGGTTGCAAATTTCTAGTCGCCACTCATTAATTTGTAAGTTTGTGTCCACAGATTAAAGATGTCACCTCGGCAGTTACTGAAGAACCAAAAAAGCAAAACAATGAAACGTCTAAAAAATTGTCCAGGAAAGCAGTCAAATCTTGCAAAACCCTGTCGTACGAACAAAAGTGTAGCTGCTTTAAAGAAAGGTAAGTTATTTGTTTTTACCAAAACTGAAATATAACTACTCTGTGCACCTGTACCTATTCCGGAGCCACTCATACCAAATTATTTTGATCCTAGAAGTACCTACCTAAGATGAGCCCCCAAAAATTACAGTTTAATATTTTTGGTTCTATGATAAGATTTCTGGAAAGTACCTTATTAGATTGCAGGGGTGCAATAATTTCACCATCACTAGACTGGGCAGCTTGTGATCGGTTGCATGTGTAAATGGTAAGGCCCTGAAAACTGTGTTTTCGAAAGGAAAAGTTAGCAAAATTGCACATTTATGCAGAAAAGCGTAAGTATTTTTCGTATAATTGTGGTAAAAATGATGTGTTTTTCGCATAATCGTGGCAATTTATATGTGTACTTAGGGCTATAAAAAAGTCATCCTTTTAAAATTTCTGAGGAAAAAGGTGCCTTTAAAATGAGAAGGCTAAGAACTTTCTGCATCCCTGTTAGATTGCATTAGGTGTCTTTAAAACTTAAAAAATATCAGAATTTCCTAAAAATTTTTTATTTCTGATCTTAGTTTTCATTTGTGCAACCTAAAATAACTCTAGCAATAATTTTCTACCATAATTTCTTCTACTATTGACACCATAAATTATATGATTGGCAGAAGCATGTCAACTTAGGAATGACATTGATGTCAGAAATTTTTTTTAATTTTTTTGTAAATTTTCTGAATTTCTAACATAATCTGTGTCTAAATTAGAAAATAATTTTCTAAATGATTTATTTTACCAACTGATGAGAGATTTCAAATTGACATGTCAGTGCATCCTGGTATTAGAGTCCTCGCTATCTGGTGTGCTCTTTAGGTGACAATTTTTTATTATCTTTCAAATTTTCCCAAGTTCTCAGCTTTTATTTTCAAATTTAAAAAATTATGTATTAGAATGCGTTGTAGCTGTGAGGAGCTCACTTTTATTTTCAACCTGCGCTAATAGGTCCAAGTACAGTTTGCTTTGCATTTTTTCTATCCTCATAGTTTTGTTTGTTACTTTTTTTTCTGCCACATATTCAATCTCATTTCATTATTATCAAGTATGATTATTTTCCCACTGAGCCCTCTTAACAATATTGATCTCTTCTTTTGTTTCAGAAATCAGTTGTTTGAAACGGAACTACTCTGTTTTGAAATTACAACTGCAAGAGCAAAAGTTAGAGTATGCCACATTAAACCGAAAGTACGTCCTTTTAGAAACTGAGGTAGAGCAACTGCAGATCTCCAATGCAACTTTGAAAGAAGAAAACAGACAGTATGAGAAACTTGTCTCCAACACCGAACCGGAAATTCGAGCATGTATGACTCGAATGGTGGAGACATCTCAGACTTTGGCTGGTCTTCAGATGGCGTTCAATAGACATAGGTCTCGGCAGCAACTGTCAAAAATCAGCGGATCGATGTCAAAAAATCATCCAACAATGGGAAAGAACTCAGTTAAGCATAGTAAGAATGTACTCAATGTGGCACCAAGGCGTAAACAGGCTGTGCGGCCAATGGTACAAGGACTGCAAATTTTCACAAACTTGACAATTCCCCTGCAACGGATTTCATTGCCTAACCAGGCTACCCGACGAGTTCCTGTTCCTGTGGTTGAAGCTCCACAAGAATCAGAAGCAGTGGTAAGATCCTACCTTGCCATCACCTTTCCATTTCACAACAAAATTTTCAGCAATTTTATTTCAACTAGATTTTAAACACTTGATTTTATTTTTCATTTTCATTATGTGTGTCGATTACGAAGGTTCCTCAAAAGTTTTTTTAGAGAACATTGCAAAATTGCAAGCTGAGTCAAATTGTGGACTACACACAGTGGCGTGCGGTCCGGATAAGCAAGGCAAGCACTGCTTGCCCAAAGATTTCAAAAGAAAGAAGAAAATTACACCTGTTACATGCATTTTTTACATTTTAGCAAATATAATTTATAAAAGGTGTTCAGTATGTAAATTGCATTGAAAACAGAAAGAGAGAGAGACAGAAATACGTAGAGAGAGCGGATGGAGGTGGCGCAGCGCGCTGCGCGGCCTAAACACGGGCCGACTCATGCGCTGGAGAATCGCTTGCGATCAGCTGAGCGGAGAGCCACTGCTCGGCGGCG